TGGAACGGAAGGAGCCCATGGAACTCAAACGGCCATCGTTGTCTCTACAAACAGAAGAAAATACAAGAAATATCACTCCAAACGGAGGACTGCTGTTGTAAACGCTTCAACATGCGGGTAAACGCGAATTGAAGCATTCCACTGACACCCGTACGGCTCAGTGCCTGGAAGCAGATTCGGTGGAATGACTCCGCCTTACCTTCTCCTCCTACCTTTTTCCATGTCTCAGCTGGAAACGAGTGTGGCCAGCCCCATGGACGTCAAAGTCGTGCAAACAGCAGAGCGGAGAAGGTGTTTGTGAGGTCGGTGTCGAGATGATCCTTCGGCACCGCTGTTTGGTGGCGTTTTGTGAACCACGGCCCGCCTCTCATGCCCGTCGGGAGGAACCGATGCAGTACATGTGAGAGTGCAGATGAGAACACAGGGGTACGAAGCATACCTACATATCCGGCTGTGGTCTGGCCGGATATCTCTCTTTTGCATAATTGTGCCTAGAAGATTAATCATCCTGCTATGTTCATGCTTACAAACCCCTGTCTTCACAACCATCAGCTCTCACGCCAAGACGCATCGGAGAGTCGGAGTTGGGCTGGCCGTGTATGATTTGTACGGCCGTACCTTAGGATTCGGCCGACATATAAACTATCTCCAAACCTTCCTAGCAGGCTTCCTGTCTTGTCCGGAATACCGAGTGCCTTATTAATATCAATTCTTCCCCGCAAGACGACTCCAACTTCAACTCCAACTCCAACTCCACCAACAATCCAAGATGGCTCCTCTGGAAGAACACGAAGTCACGTACGGCGACAACAAGAAGATTTTCTACCATGCTTCCGGTCCTTCCGACGGCCCTCTTCTGATCTTTGTCCACGGCTGGCCAGCCATTGGCAAGCTATGGAAACCACAGATGGATGCTTTCGCCGCCATGGGCTTCCGATGTGTTGCTCCTGACATGCCAGGTGTGTACATGTCGTAGACATCTCAAGGCATTGCACTCAAAAGCCTCCTGACTAAATCGATGAATCAGGCTACGGCAAGTCTACAGCTCGCAAAGTCATCGAAGACTACGCCCAAGAACAGATCAACATTGGCATGCTCGCATTGCTGAAGGACACAGGCCGCGACAAGGCTGTCTGGATCGGTAGATCACCTCACACCGTCCCACATTCGATGACGAACTAACAAAGTACAGGCCACGACTGGGGCTGCGGCTCCCTCTGGACTTTCACCGCATGCTACCCGGAACACTGCATCGCAGCAGCCGGTCTCTGTGTTCCCTACGGCATGATCGAACTGGGTCTGGAAGAGATCCTCAAAACCGTTGACCGTAACATCTACCCCGAAGACGAGTACCCATACGGCCAATGGGCTTACCAGAAGTTCTACGAGACCGACTTCGAGAAAGCATCTGCTTTTTTCGATGCCGACATTCCAGCCTTCTTGCGTGCTTCCCGCGTCAAGGGCAACCCGGCGAGTGTTGGAAAGCCCGGCGCATTGGCACAAGTCATCAAGGACGGCGGCTGGATGGGCGGCGCCGAGAAGCCGGATCCCAAGTACAGGCACATCCCGCTCGAGTACACCGTCTACGATTCCGAGGACACATTCAACGAATTTGTCGCTGCGATGGAGAAGACCGGTTTCTGGGCCCCTGATGCTTGGTACATGAACCACAGCCGCAACCGCGCTTACACTCTGAAGAACAGGAAGAACGATGGCAACCTTGAGTTCCCGGTGTTGTTTGTAAGTCCCTCTGATTTCTCGACCGTCCATGCCCGACAAGGGGTCTACAAGGATATGACTAATACATCCCAACAGGTCCACGCCACATACGACACCACCTGCTCCACCGCCGACAACCCCAAGATCATGGCAAACATGCGGCAGCAGTGCAAGAACCTGAAGGAAGCCAAGGTCGACGCCTCCCACTGGGTAGCAGAGGAGAAGCCCACCGAAGTGAACGCCATCATCGCCAAATGGCTGCTCGAGGAGGTCAATGGAATTTGGCCCGCCCAGTGGGCCGGCAAAGGTTCAGTCTTGTAATCGCTAAATCTCAGTAACGAAACATGAAACGTCAACAATAATGACCCCGAATCTTCACTCTTTCCTCAACATCCTCTCCTCAACCACAATCCCCGGCGCCCCCTTCCTCAGCACCTCCACCAACTCCTCCCCAGCAGCCCTCACCTCCCCCTCAGTAACCGGATCCAGCACATCAAGAATAAACAACACCCGCTTCGTATCCTCGCATAACGCAGTCCTAGGCCCCTGCCTCCAATTCCACCTCCGGCAAGTAACACCCGCATCATCGCACCACACAACCTCCCCTACATCCGCGAACTCGGTGACTTTCTCTCCCTTCGAATTCGCTTCGAAAGGCTCCTTCCCAGTCGACCGAATCAATTTTGGCGCACCAGTATATTTGTCTAAATCCTCGCCTCCGAGCGGGATTTGATGTTTGACGCAGATGGCGTTGTAAATATCCGTCAAGCGATTGACTCTCGGCAACCCACCGGCTTCGACCCGTCGAGTCAGAGCTTCGAGGCTGTTGCGGGTTTTGTTCGGTTTGGCGCCGAAGGACTTGTAGGCTTCGCGCCAGGCGGCGATGTGTGGGAGGTCGTTGATGGGAGTTTTACTTAGGCGGGCGCGGGCGCTGGTTTCGGCTTCCAGGAGCAGAGATTCGCTTGTGTTGTCGGAGGCGCTGGGGATCAGGTTGTCGATCGTTATGAGCAGGGCGCGGTAGTCTGGTCGGAGGGCGAAGACTTCGGGTGCGATTGTTGCTGAGGCGAGGAGGGATTTGGAGGTGGACATTTTTGAGGTGGTTGTGGTGGATTGGATTGGACTTTGGGGAGATGGCTATTCTCTACGCGTTGGACTTCATCTATTGTTCTTATACGTTTATGTACCATTTAAGAGACTTCATCAAACCTTCCTGTTGTTTCGATGTGTAGTCGGAGGGCGTGAGCCCTAACCCTTAATCGTCGTCTTTGCTCGCTGCTCGCTGCTCGCTTGCCGGATTCGGTAGCCAGCACTCGAGTCTCGATCACTCGGAGTCCGCGGGCCCGCTCTCTTTCGTCTTCACTTTTCTCCGTTTTCCAATGCCTCACCAAGGTCTTTCGGCTGAACTTCGACATTTAAAAAGGAGTGTCCGCGAGGCGTTTTCATCCTGTCCTATATGGCTTGTCTTCCAGTCTTTGCTGTCTCGTGGCTTGGCGGCTGTCCCAATTTCGCTCTTCTTTGTGACCAAGGACTTTCGCGACTCGTCCTGCGCGTAACCACGTGCGATTTCCATCTCGGACCATCAAGAGAAGCGATGAGGTACCTATCCAGATGCAAGTTCGACTGCAAGCAGATGTGATGAGGCATTGGAAAACGGAGAAAAGTGAAGACGAAAGAGAGCGGGCCCGCGGACTCCGAGTGATCGAGACTCGAGTGCTGGCTACCGAATCCGGCAAGCGAGCAGCGAGCAGCGAGCAAAGACGACGATTAAGGGTTAGGGCTCACGCCCTCCGACTACACATCGAAACAACAGGAAGGTTTGATGAAGTCTCTTAAATGGTACATAAACGTATAAGAACAATAGATGAAGTCCAACGCGTAGAGAATAGCCATCTCCCCAAAGTCCAATCCAATCCACCACAACCACCTCAAAAATGTCCACCTCCAAATCCCTCCTCGCCTCAGCAACAATCGCACCCGAAGTCTTCGCCCTCCGACCAGACTACCGCGCCCTGCTCATAACGATCGACAACCTGATCCCCAGCGCCTCCGACAACACAAGCGAATCTCTGCTCCTGGAAGCCGAAACCAGCGCCCGCGCCCGCCTAAGTAAAACTCCCATCAACGACCTCCCACACATCGCCGCCTGGCGCGAAGCCTACAAGTCCTTCGGCGCCAAACCGAACAAAACCCGCAACAGCCTCGAAGCTCTGACTCGACGGGTCGAAGCCGGTGGGTTGCCGAGAGTCAATCGCTTGACGGATATTTACAACGCCATCTGCGTCAAACATCAAATCCCGCTCGGAGGCGAGGATTTAGACAAATATACTGGTGCGCCAAAATTGATTCGGTCGACTGGGAAGGAGCCTTTCGAAGCGAATTCGAAGGGAGAGAAAGTCACCGAGTTCGCGGATGTAGGGGAGGTTGTGTGGTGCGATGATGCGGGTGTTACTTGCCGGAGGTGGAATTGGAGGCAGGGGCCTAGGACTGCGTTATGCGAGGATACGAAGCGGGTGTTGTTTATTCTTGATGTGCTGGATCCGGTTACTGAGGGGGAGGTGAGGGCTGCTGGGGAGGAGTTGGTGGAGGTGCTGAGGAAGGGGGCGCCGGGGATTGTGGTTGAGGAGAGGATGTTGAGGAAAGAGTGAAGATTCGGGGTCATTATTGTTGACGTTTCATGTTTCGTTACTGAGATTTAGCGATTACAAGACTGAACCTTTGCCGGCCCACTGGGCGGGCCAAATTCCATTGACCTCCTCGAGCAGCCATTTGGCGATGATGGCGTTCACTTCGGTGGGCTTCTCCTCTGCTACCCAGTGGGAGGCGTCGACCTTGGCTTCCTTCAGGTTCTTGCACTGCTGCCGCATGTTTGCCATGATCTTGGGGTTGTCGGCGGTGGAGCAGGTGGTGTCGTATGTGGCGTGGACCTGTTGGGATGTATTAGTCATATCCTTGTAGACCCCTTGTCGGGCATGGACGGTCGAGAAATCAGAGGGACTTACAAACAACACCGGGAACTCAAGGTTGCCATCGTTCTTCCTGTTCTTCAGAGTGTAAGCGCGGTTGCGGCTGTGGTTCATGTACCAAGCATCAGGGGCCCAGAAACCGGTCTTCTCCATCGCAGCGACAAATTCGTTGAATGTGTCCTCGGAATCGTAGACGGTGTACTCGAGCGGGATGTGCCTGTACTTGGGATCCGGCTTCTCGGCGCCGCCCATCCAGCCGCCGTCCTTGATGACTTGTGCCAATGCGCCGGGCTTTCCAACACTCGCCGGGTTGCCCTTGACGCGGGAAGCACGCAAGAAGGCTGGAATGTCGGCATCGAAAAAAGCAGATGCTTTCTCGAAGTCGGTCTCGTAGAACTTCTGGTAAGCCCATTGGCCGTATGGGTACTCGTCTTCGGGGTAGATGTTACGGTCAACGGTTTTGAGGATCTCTTCCAGACCCAGTTCGATCATGCCGTAGGGAACACAGAGACCGGCTGCTGCGATGCAGTGTTCCGGGTAGCATGCGGTGAAAGTCCAGAGGGAGCCGCAGCCCCAGTCGTGGCCTGTACTTTGTTAGTTCGTCATCGAATGTGGGACGGTGTGAGGTGATCTACCGATCCAGACAGCCTTGTCGCGGCCTGTGTCCTTCAGCAATGCGAGCATGCCAATGTTGATCTGTTCTTGGGCGTAGTCTTCGATGACTTTGCGAGCTGTAGACTTGCCGTAGCCTGATTCATCGATTTAGTCAGGAGGCTTTTGAGTGCAATGCCTTGAGATGTCTACGACATGTACACACCTGGCATGTCAGGAGCAACACATCGGAAGCCCATGGCGGCGAAAGCATCCATCTGTGGTTTCCATAGCTTGCCAATGGCTGGCCAGCCGTGGACAAAGATCAGAAGAGGGCCGTCGGAAGGACCGGAAGCATGGTAGAAAATCTTCTTGTTGTCGCCGTACGTGACTTCGTGTTCTTCCAGAGGAGCCATCTTGGATTGTTGGTGGAGTTGGAGTTGGAGTTGAAGTTGGAGTCGTCTTGCGGGGAAGAATTGATATTAATAAGGCACTCGGTATTCCGGACAAGACAGGAAGCCTGCTAGGAAGGTTTGGAGATAGTTTATATGTCGGCCGAATCCTAAGGTACGGCCGTACAAATCATACACGGCCAGCCCAACTCCGACTCTCCGATGCGTCTTGGCGTGAGAGCTGATGGTTGTGAAGACAGGGGTTTGTAAGCATGAACATAGCAGGATGATTAATCTTCTAGGCACAATTATGCAAAAGAGAGATATCCGGCCAGACCACAGCCGGATATGTAGGTATGCTTCGTACCCCTGTGTTCTCATCTGCACTCTCACATGTACTGCATCGGTTCCTCCCGACGGGCATGAGAGGCGGGCCGTGGTTCACAAAACGCCACCAAACAGCGGTGCCGAAGGATCATCTCGACACCGACCTCACAAACACCTTCTCCGCTCTGCTGTTTGCACGACTTTGACGTCCATGGGGCTGGCCACACTCGTTTCCAGCTGAGACATGGAAAAAGGTAGGAGGAGAAGGTAAGGCGGAGTCATTCCACCGAATCTGCTTCCAGGCACTGAGCCGTACGGGTGTCAGTGGAATGCTTCAATTCGCGTTTACCCGCATGTTGAAGCGTTTACAACAGCAGTCCTCCGTTTGGAGTGATATTTCTTGTATTTTCTTCTGTTTGTAGAGACAACGATGGCCGTTTGAGTTCCATGGGCTCCTTCCGTTCCA